AGATATTTCAGTCTCTGCAGTCTTTGCATATTTATATTCAGATAGTTTGAAGTGTCTACATTATCATTGCAAAACCCTTAAAACAAGATTTGAGATGGAAGCGGAGCCTCATAGAGGTTCACATCAGCTTCACGAGGATAAATGCGAGCACCAGAACCAAGACAATAAGCAGAAAATTGAGCAGCAGGTTGAGACCTCTGTTGTTAGCAAGATCCATACTGTGGATCAGTGTGCCCTCTTGTGCTCGCAGCAGACTCTTGATCGTAGCTTTGGGTTGCTCTAAGTAATGTAGATTCACATAAATTTCATTGTGTCTTCAGCTGTTTACCTGGTTTTAGTTTCTGCCATGTAAGAAAAAAAATGTTTATTTATAATAACTAGATTTTTTTTTCCAAAAAAGGAATCTGGATGCCTTTTTTTTTTTTCCCCCAAATACCTTAAAAATAAAAAACAATAATATTAGAGTTAATGATAGCTTTCATTTCACTACTGAAGAGCTTCTGAAGAACTGATTGATGGAGAAAGGACTTGAATTTTATACAGTTTGGCTCTTTATTTACTTTTTTTAATGTGTATGGTACTTTTCAGGCCCATTTGATTTTCAAAAAAAGAGGCTATTCTCAAGACTTAATCTGTTGCAGCAATAGATGTTGAAAATTTACTTTTGAAAGATCTCTGTAGGTGAAAAAACAAAAACAAACAAACAAACAAAAACAAAACAAAAAAACAGAAAGACAACTTTCTCATCTGGGCAAAATGTACCTCTGTTAACAGGAGTGTTTCCTACCCTTCTAGGGTTTGGCATCGTGCAGCACGGTAGGTAGCGTTTTGCCAGCAGTGTGCTGTCTAGGATTCACTGCGGCTTTGCAAATGCCTTATTAAGAATCTAGATTGGGCTGGCAGAGGATGCGTCCTTAGTGCTTTTAATAGCACATACGCAATAGCTTCTTTTAAGATAGTATTAATAACTTAGCAATTGTGTTTTATATGTAAAATTATATATATATATATATTTATATATTTATATATATATATATATATATATAAATGAAAGAAACAAATAGGACAACTTAGCCCTAACAATGAAATGTTGCCAAAACTTCCTTTTAATAACCAGCTAAGTTTTTAGGGGAGATCACAAGAGGGCAGTGTTTTATAGCTTTATATTTTATACAAAAATGGAACTTTCAGCATTCTTTTATCTTATATAAGAAATATAAGGGGCTTATAAAGCAATCGGTTTGATGAAACTGTCAGATATTACAATAAATCTTGTGCCTGTTTCAAATAATTTAAATTACCAGGGTTCTTACTGAGATGAGCATCAGTTTTTAAAGGAATCCTTATAAATAGGTTGTTCTGTTTGTAATCGTTGCAATGAACAAGAGGTGTTAGTTCACTGATCTCCTTCCATAACCAAAACAGGTTTTTTTGTTTGTTTGTTTGTGTTTGTTTTTGTTATTTAAGCTTTTAACATCTAGGTCAAAGCTAAAAGGACGACATCTGTTGTTAAATAAAAGATATCTGTGGATCTTGTAGGACTTCACAAATATTTTCTAGTTGTATTCTGACAGACACTATTTATTAATAGCCATACAAATACAGGTGTCTGGTCTCTAATATGTAATTAGAGCAGAGTAATGAACACATTTATTCTTGTTCATTTCTGGATGGATATGAACAAGAATGAATGTGTTCATTGCTCTGCTCTAATTTTGGCAGAGAGGATATAGGTAAAGTACATCTCGGCATGAGTGCGTATGTCTGACATGATTATTGTTCTGTGCGTATTTGTAGCAAAACTTACGTAAAAGTTCCTGACGCTGGGGGGGCAAACATTTTGTGCATGTTCTGTGAAAAATTTTGTTTAAACCTATTTTACACTTATCTGTCGAGTGGTTCAGTTCTGCAATAAGGGCAATCAGTTGCTAAATGCAGTAAGGGCAATCGTTGCTAAATTGATGGAGATTAGTTAATAAAGAAATGCAAGTAACTGCTGCCCTCTAAAGTGCCTTACTGACTAGTTTTGATCAGAACAAAATTTCTAATTCTGAAATGGATAGTGTCTTCACCTAGAGAAAAATGGGTAAATTTATCAATATTTGCTGAAGAGCTGGCTGAGGAGACGCGTCTTTAAAACCAGCATATTCTTGTTCCTGCTTCAGCTCTTTCTCAGCGTAAAATTGCCATGGCAGTTTGTCATTTGTTTTTTGGGGGGGAAGAGTAATACCAGATTGTTGCTGTTTGGCTGTCTATCAGTGTGTAAGATGAAATTAGCAAAAAGACATAGCCTCGAGTGGTATGGAAAAGAGAAATGAAAACTTAATCCAAGCTACATGCTGTGTTTGGAATTTTTATTATGGCTCATAAAAGTAGTGAACTTTTTGATTACACTTTCATAAAATTCATTAGGATTATTTATGTGCACTATTTGGTGAGGGTAAATTAAGTATGTGTAAGTGATCTGGACATCGCAAAATAGGCAGGACTGCTGTTGAAAACCAAAGCAGAATAAACAGAGGTATACACAATCAGAAAGCTGTGTGATGACTAGCTCTTTTTCACGTAACTTTAATAAGTAGATTTCTAAATGGAATTGTATTTAAGTATCTTATTTTATGCATTAAAAATATTTTCAAGCAGTCATTTTAATAAATAAAAATACAGTAGATGTTAGTTTTAAAGCCCCTATAAGTATACAAAGAAGAATGTACTATGTACAAAAGGTTTTATTTTTTTAATCTCTGGGTTCAGTTGACATTTAGTGATATAGAGAATGGTAGCAGTTTTTCTGATCAGCAGAACCCTAAGACACGTGAACCATACAGTACATGCAATTTATCTGCGTTGCTGTAAAATAACAATAGGGCTTCCAGCTTATTTATACCTTGGTTTTGTTCTTGTTTACTGTTTTTAAATAAATAATGGCACATAAGAGGAAAGTGGTGGGTTTGTTTTTATGAGGGGGGATGGGGTTTTTATTTTGTTCGCAATGCTTTACTTCTATGGATTACTGGCTTGTGAAACCTATAATCCCAACATGTCCTCAGAATGTATGTGTTGATATTTTACTCTTAACACCTTTTTTCTTCAGGGAGTTTTCTATGCTGTAAAACTGTTTCTATTTCCCATTGAAGTTTCTTGAAACACCTCCAAAGCAAACTAAAACTGGAAACCCTATCCATTACAAAAATATAGATTTAAAAAGAGAAGAAAGTACCTTTAGATTTTTCTGTTTTTTTTCCCACAGAAGTGCACTGCGTTGGCAGCTGTTCTTAAGAAGAAGAATTAATAGGGAAAGTGTGCTTATTAAAATCTCATGCATTTGTGAGAGTGGTCAGAATGCACGAAATGGACATTGAGATTCACACTGACAGTTCGAATCGATAATATTCATACACTAACTTGCAGGGAGGGGGTTGGTTGGGTGTTGCCGGTCTCATCAGTGCTTGCCCTAATCCTCATACAGTAGCTAAGCAATTTCCTGTAGTGATTAACCTTGTTTCAGCGGTCTGGTCTCAGCACATCTGTTTGCCAGTTAGGAAGTGCATCACCACTGGATTTGCTTGCATTCCATTGAGTACGTAGTTTTTTCAAAGATTTCTTCCCTTCCTGCTCAGCTGTTCATTTTCAACCTCTACTCGTGGAATATTAAGTCTTAAAGGCAGAATACAAGATTAAGATAAAACTGTTTTGATTTTCTGTATTCATCAATAGGATTGCTTATGTAGAGTGGTATAGAAAGATGCCCATTTAAAAAATAGGTGTCCGTTTGACCTCTGTTGATTCTTGAGCTCTCTTTAAATTTGAATACTGTATAAAGTTTCTAGGAATTTAGCTTAATACTAGCAACACATGGGAGAGTTTGAAGTCTACCGCTCACTCTGGTTACTGACAACTGCTGGAGTAGAAACTTCATCTTTTATGTATAGACTGTGGTTTACATGTTGAAAAGATATTTCTGCGCTGCTTTCCCCCCTGTGCATAATGGTACGTATCATTTATTTTAGGAAAGTACTTGCTTGTTCTCTAACAGGCATTTGCAGTTGAGGGTGGTGGTGTTACTTGCATTTGTATGATACACTTCAATCACAGCAGTAAGAGTGACTTAAACCTTTTTCTTCACCACATCAGATACAAGCCACCTTGTGTGACATTGGCAAATACCAAGTTTTCTGTAGTTCTAAACTAAGGAGATTATTGTATAAATTACAGCAGGCCATCATAAAGTTGTCTGAAGCCAAATATTAAGAACTCAGAATTACTTTTGAGTTGTGCCAATTGTCATGTCAGTTAAATGACTATAGAAAATTAAATCTTTGATACCATTGCGGTACTGTCGATTTTTCTGCAAAACATAGTGAAAAAACTTTCCAGATGTCACTTACTTCTGTAAGGATGTATCTAGTGAAAAATACTGTAAATGAAGTTGCCTTTTTTTTTTTTTAGATCCAAGTTGTATGTGTGTATATACACACATATATACGTGCTTTGTATATATATATAATCTCTAAGATCCCTTAAATAGGGAGAAAAGCATATGAAATAGTTTTTATTTCTGGGTTAGAAGACATTTTTTGTTTATTCTCATATTCCCTTAAAATCACTGCAACAATTTGAATGCCTTCAGTTGATAATGCAGAGATGCAGCACCTTGAAGTAAGCAGAGCAGAAATTTTCCTAGGATGTGTTAGGGGCTGTGTGCCTGTAGGTCGTCTTTGGGTGGACATGGGCCAAATTTAGAACCCCTCCAAGGGCTTAAGGATTTTCAGAGAAATTTGAAAACACTCAGGCCCCCAAAAAGTGAAGTTGCTGTTTGTGTGATCTGGCTAAAACATTGAGGAACTTACCAACTCCATGAAGAGGCAGTACTTTTACCCCATTCAGAAAAGACATCTCTTGACCGAGACAGACAAATTAGATCATGCACAGCTTTGTAACAACAGGCTCTAAACACTGTTCTGCACAGAAGTGTGTTTTTAATACATGTAGCAGGTAGTAAGAGAGTAGTGCGATGGTTGGCATACAGCTCTAGTCCAAGTGCTAGCCCCTCTCACAAGAGGATCCTTGCATTGGGAGTTGCGGGTGTAGGTCTCTCTTCCCTCTGGGGTGACTTTCCTAGAGGACAGTGCAGAGAAGTGCTGGAACTTCAGAGGAGCATCACAATGATACAGATCAGCAAGAGGCAAATTAAAATCAGGCAGAAATTCACAAAGAGCTCTTGGAGCCTTTGGCGTGCTTGTGGGTTGACCTCAATAGTTGAGGCTCTCCTCAGAGCAGAGCGGGTTATGTATTGGACCTTCTCCATGGCAACAAGAAAGCAGAGGGCACAAATCAGAGGTTTTAGGAGTGCAGGAAAGAAGAGAAGTTGTCAGGAACAGTGCAAAGTGCCTGTTATCTTCTCTTTTTGTTTTAGACAGCCTTTGTGGAGCTGGGAAAGCAGGAAAGTGAAGAGTTAGAAATGCAGAAGTAAAGTGTTTTGATGAGTGCAAATGGAGATTGTTTCAAAGTTCTAAAAAGCCTGAAGTAAATAGATTGCCTTTACAGTGTTTTTACTTTAAAACAGGTTTTTCAACATTTTGTTTTTCAAGTTTAGATTTGTCCTGTATTGTGCTTCTCCTCCTGAAGGCTACCAAGCACCTGCTTCTTAGCAGTGGTGAGGAATTGTAAAGTGGAAATTGTGCATTTGCGGGTTTTACCCAGATCATTGCTTTAGATCCTGATCTCTATCCTTTACAGTCAGTGAAAAGGCCGTGGCTGGCTCCCTCCCACCCCCCCACTCATTATTTGTTCAAGCACACGTGAAAGCCTGATGATATGGCTAGAGTCACAGATTTTTCAGCTAGAAGATCTGGATATTACTGCTGGCTGTTATTGACCCGGGCAGATAATCTGACTTACCCCAGTACCTTATTCTGGAAGGGAGGAAAAGAAATATTGTTGAAGCGTTTCTGTTTCCAAGTAAAAATTCTTTATGGTGAGTAATTAAAAGCTAATGCATCACTGCCATAGGGAATTCTAGTATATTTCTCAACAGACAAAACAGAGTAAGGACTAAAATTTTTTTTTTTTTTATATACACATAGGACAATGTGTAACAAAATATAAGTGCAAAGGCAGAGGACTGCTATGAGGAACAAAATAAAGCATGTATATAACTTTGTCTCTTAAGTGAGTGTTTTGTTGCAAGTATATTTTCCCCCTTTTTAATGGCAGATGGAAGCACAGGGTGTCTTACACCACAGCTACTTCTTGGGAGTTTTAAAACCCTCCTGTATGACCCTTCCATGGCAAGAGGCTGGCTTTGATATATGCTTGTTTGGCTCATAGTGAGGTGGATTCTGTAGGTGCTATTGCAATGTGAAAAACTAGTTTTCAAGATGGTGATGATATATGCGTCTCTCAAACTTTACTGCTAAAGCTGCACTTGCTCCTAAAAGTTTCATGAACTTATATAGTGATCATACCTTTCACAGAGGGCCTCTCCTTGTCCTCTTTTTTTGGGGGGGGGGCGGGGGGGGGGTAAACAAAATTTGTATCTACTCATATATGCCACATAACGGAAAACCATTGCTTAGATATCTGCTGCCCAAATTACATGATGATCCTGACTGATGTCCATGAATTTGTCTTTAGATGTGAGTAAATGGAAAAACCTTAAAATGAAACAGAAGTGTCTTTCAGACTCTTCTTTTTTAGTCCCTCCATGTCAGGCTGTAGAGTCAAATGGTCCTGTATGGGCAGGATACGTGTGCTTCCAGTGCCAGCAGCAGTGTGGGTATTTAAAGAGACTTTTGAAAGAAACCAGATAGTGTAATACCTTTAGAGGATTCCATGTGATGACATCTCCTCCTAAAATTGAACTTGAGATTTTGTTATGATGTTTTGAGCTATAGTTGATCTTAACTTTGTTGTGAACAAAACACACACCAGGAACTTACTTTCCGAGGGACTATAATTTTTCAGCTTTGTTTGACTTTATGCTGTACCTGTTTTCATCTACTTAAGCAGTTAAAGTGCTTGCCAAGTATATTCTGCTTAGCTCTTTGCTGGTCACTGTCTGCCCTACGTGCAGTAAAAGCAAGACGTGCACAGGAATTCTCAAGTGACTTGGCTGAAGACACATTTGCTCTCCCAGCCCAGTATGGGCTGCGGTGCATTAGGCTGTTCATCCTCTTTTAGACAAGGCATGGTAGATGAACCAGTAATGGGTTTACGCTAGTACAGAAGAGTTTGCGTAACTAGCTTGTGCGACAGACACTGCACAGAGAACAGTATTGCCTGCAGATGACTTCATCACAACTTGTCATTTTTTTTAATGCAGGGTGTGTGCAACCTGTGGTCTTTGGGCTGTGTATGACCTGTTACAGCAACACATCTGTCCTCTTCCTGGCTGCTGTATTTCTTGGGGCCCTCAGAAGGACTAGAACAGCATGAATTTTCACCTTTGTATATGCACAATAAGTCCATTTCTGTGTACTGCGTTAGATTTAACTGCACACATGCTAACACCTGCACTGCTGTGTTGCTGCATATGTTTCCCTTGCATGACTCAGGGGGCGAGGGCCTGGGTCGTTGAAGTGCTTCTGTAAAAGGCAATATTAGCTGGTTGGGCATCACAGATGCAAGGCCGCCATAGGTGAGATCTCTTGGGGAGGGGAAAAAAAAAAATTACTCTTCCCTTTGGAATGAGTGAGGGATGTTGCCGAGGGAGCAGGCAATAGGTCAGAAGGCTCAGTTGAGCTGTCACACTGACGTTAGCATTGAACATACATTACCAGACAGGCGATAGGAAAGGATATTTAAAAAAAAAAGGGGGGGGAAGGTAAAATGTCTACCTTTTACGGCTAGAAAACAGTGTAAAGATGGGATGAGGAAAGATCAAAACAAAGTAACTTGGTTTCCTTGATTTAAAAGCTCATATGGAATTGCAAATTTTTGGAACACGTACATGTTGTTTTACCTACTAAACCTGTCTGTGGGAGAAGTTTTCTTATAAGCAAAGGAGGCAAATTCTGTGTCTGTATTTCAGCAAGTTTGTCTTTACAAGTGCATGGCTTCAACTAATAAACACATACCTTGCTTGTTAATCCTCCATGGTGCTGTCACCCACCTAAAGTGTGCATAAAGAGAAACAGATTCAGTAACACAGCTGCATATGGGTGGCTATCAAGGTCAAAATGGACAGCCTGAAAAATAATTACACTGATACGAAGGCTGATCATTGGCACAAATAGGCGCTGTTCTCTCCTGTTTAGTCCCCTGTCTTGTGTTTTAGGTCAATATTAAGAAGTATTATGCATGCACACACCACTTCTTGACAGGAAAGTGCAGCAAAAGGGCAAACTATATTTGACTTTTTTTTTAAAGTCAGCGTTACTCATGTGTGACGAGACCAAGGATTGCACAAGAGAAACTGCTGGCTTCATTGCTATGCAGTTATGTGTTCAATCCAGTGTTGTTAATGGATGTGAAAGGATCGTCTTATGCACAGCACGAATCTGCAGGAAGAGGTCATGTGGCTGACCCCATATGTTACTGTGTAGGGGATCCCCTACACCTGGTGCCCTAGAATGAGTCACTGATCACAATTATTGCTTCCTTCTTCACTCACATGTGACTGTTTCCCTGATTTGTATTAGGTTATTTTTATCTTTGTTCCTGGGTGTCCTTCACAATGAGCGGAGGTATGTGACCAAAGCGAAAACTGTGGGCCATGCTCATTCCTCGTGCAACTGCATTGACTCCATTGAAGTCGCACGGGATAAATTTGGCCCCTTTCGAAATGCCACAGCAATTTTAGACACAGCCTGTTTCCTGTCATATGTTTACTAAATGCAGCAGTGATATCAGTGGAATAGAAGAGGTTTGACATACTTGATTTGTTGCTGTCCCATACGACCAAGTGAATCCCTGAAAAGGCATTGTTAAAAAGTAATATTGTGTAATGGTCTCTTGCATAGATTTTTACAATGAGATGTCCCCAAAACCCCGTAATTCAGTTTCATCCATTGAAAATAAATGTCTCAATAACCATGAACATAGTGATGCAAAAAGTACCATCAAGTTATGTGATCCTTGGTCTAGTATGTGTTTAGAACTCTTACTAAAAATTAGCTGGCCTTAGAAATTCCTCTAGCTGTTTGTGTGAGCAGTATGATACTCGTAGGCAGGAAGAGGCATTCTCTGCATGGTCAGAGGAGGTGAGTTTAAAGATTTATGTGTATAGTGCCAAAGCAAAAAAGAACCCTGCGTGCAGGACTAAATGCTGTGAGTTGAGTTGAACCTGGAGCCCTTTGTTACCATTGCCTGTGGATTGTGTGGCCCCCAGAGGAGAACACATTGCAGAGTTTTAAAGCTTTGCCTGTGCACAGCAGCTGCAGTTGATGCGTAGGCATGCTCATCATCTTCATTGGCTGTCCTGTGTTAATGTATATATTTTATTCCAAGTTGCATTGCTTTGTTTCGAACCCTGCTGTAAAATACCTCCTCATCAGCAGTGTGGAGTCACTACAGTTGAGATCTCCAAGTCTGAAAAATCTCCTTTTTTGTGTGAGGAAGATGAGGGGTGAGAAGGGAGTGAAGAGGGAAGCGGTCTGAATTAACTCTAGAGACCTCTAGAGGGTCTCACTACTGTCAATTTGGTTCACTAAGTAAAAGTTTCCAACGATAGAACAGAAGTTGCTTGCAGGTTTTCAAGTACAGAAGTGATTTATAAAGGTATGTTGTAATTTTAAATTTTTCTTCTTTTTACAGAAAAATACACAGTATGGAGGTGACTTGCTAGGATTTACCCCAGCAGCTGGATTTTCTGTTTACCTATGCTAGGGGTGCAGAATTCTGTTGCTTATTCTGATTTTAGGCTGAGTTGCACTAGGCAGTTGTGTCAGTGAACAAGGGTATTAAGGGTATTAGCCAATTCAACAGCTTGACTGCAGAAAGAGGAAAGTTGATGTATTGATTTATTTATTTATTAAGAAGAAAGCATAAAAGGGGAAAGAAAGGGCTGGAGGTTGAAAACAAAGACTGGGATGGGTGAAGGCAAGAATGCAGACAGTGCAGGAGAGGACAGATTGAGGGAGGAAAGTAGAAGAAGAAAATGAGCGAAGGAAGAGAGTGAGAGTGTGGAAAAAGAGCAAGGAATTGTGCAAGGGGAAAGACAAAACTGTAGCTGGAGTACATTAAGTCATTGAAGAGAGCTAGAGGCTGACTTGTGGCATATAGTGTCATTTTTTCAATCACATGCAGAACGCATTTCCTTGGGATGGGGGAAGAAGCAACAATTCAGCGCATAGAGTTTGGGAAGTG